TATATGGAGATGATAGAAGAACTGGGGAAGAGAATAGAAGCAACTAAAAATCTGTTAGAGGTCACAGAAAAACTGCTTCAGAGAACAGAGAAGGAGATTGGTCAAAAAACAGAAAGGAAACATGAACTAGAGCTCTTAAAGGAGCAGATTAATAAAACCCTGCAGGAGAATCAGGCTGAGATTCAGGAGGAACTTCAGACAGAGCAACCAGAGAGAGAAGAAGGGTAGACAGCCATTTATTTACACTGTATTTAAATGTTTATTTCTAGTCTGCACCTAATGTTCACAGAATGGGTTATCTTAATGAACATTTGAATTGTGCTCATTTGAATAAGACCAGACCAGAGACAACAGCAGAAGAAACACAGGTTTTTTTTTCTGGCAAACAAAATGTCCCTGGTCGTTTACTCTATTTCTACTGTTTACCTCTCAATCGTTGTAAGAAAAGACACAAAAATTGCCACGGTGACCACCCCATAAAATATCAACTGTTGGGTACCTCCATGGCTTAGACCAGAACTGAGGTACAGATCCAGGTAGATCCTTCTTGTTTCCTGTCATCTCTCCACTTTCACTATCCAATACAGGACAAAATGATAATCATTTTAAAAAGAAGACTACTGTGTTAAAGTCAGATTCATTTTATTATAGTTGCAAAGAACATATTCTTCTTCACATTCTCTGCAGTAAATGTATCAATAGTGGTCCACCCCAATATTTCCAAAAGGTACATTTATATATTTTTTTCATAATTAAAAAATGTTTTTTTCAACAATAGCTCATTTCAGAGGAATCCATCAAATTGAAGGCTGATGGAGTACTTGGCTGGAACAAGTGCACTGAAATAGTCTACTTTTTAAGAGTGCAAGTATCATCCATTTGAAATGTGTTGATATATATTTTTCTAATAAACAATACATATAGCAACTTTTATAAAGAAAAGAATCCCCTTGTTTTTGTAAATGTTTAGTGTGTACATAAATTGTGTTTCAAAATGGTTTCAGTGAATTTATTGGGAATGAACAAATAAAATGATTTAATGATGGAATAACACTAATGTCTTTTCTTTATAAAAATCTATATCTGAACATTGAGTCATTATGGGAATGAATATATGAATACTGAGATGCTACATTGAGATATATTAAGAACAATCTATCATAACACATAATACCATGAATGTCTCAACCAACATTCATGGTCCCCTGACCTTTCCCTTAATGCCACTATGAGATTGATATTTTGTTTGCCATTAAAATATCACAACAACTACAAGACCCTCTCTTTTTAAAGAATTCAAATGAATTTCGGGATCAAACTTTCGGACTGACCACTATTTATTTTGATCTAATTATCTGACTGCACGCTTTGCCCTCAGAGATGTTCTGGCACTTTGTTTGCATATGCTATGGGAATGTCTAAGGTAAAATCTCTTCAGGTCTGTCAGAGACCATTGGACGCTCTGAACTATGCTCTTTATTGGTTGGTAATAAAGAGCCAGTTGGTACGGCTGGCTGGTATGGAAGAGTATTGCATTCACTTGACAAACAATTCTACCCTGTTTTTCTTAATTAATAATGACACATTTTGAGATATGTTTTTTTTATTTATGGAAATGCATCTCATGATCATAATTCATCATTCATTCATTCATTCATTCATTCATCATTAATTCAGAAAAGACAGTATTTTGATATTTTCTACATGGAATAATCTTTTGCAGGGTCACACGGTTCAAAAACCAAATAATGTAAATGTTTTAGTTCAGGCTGTTGGAAGCATAAAGACGCTACTGTTGGTAAAACAGTCTGTCATATATGTCCTGTGTCGTTTGTTCCCTTCTGTATGTGTGTTCTATATAATCAATAAAAATAAGTTCTTCCACAGGAAGTTGTTCTGTTGTTAGCGTTAACATTTTACTCATAATGCTCATAAACTCATACCAGGACAAAAACAACCCCAGACCAAAAGTAACAGAGCTGTCAACATACTTTTGTCCATACACCCCCCTCTGTCTCTCACACACACAGTCACATCAGAGCATGTGGAAACAGCCCCACTCTGCCCTCTGCCGCTCAGTCACCTGATTTTATTTTCTTTCAAAGAGAGGGAGGATGAAGTTACAGTTCTGCTCTTGGCTCATATTTCTTTCCACAGTTAATCACTTACTGTTACATGTCAGGAAACAGGCATGTTTAATCCCATCATCCACCAGTGAAATCTACTCAACACTGAAACCCTGATATGCAATTTAACACTTTTCCAACTCATGTTGTGGATTTTTTGTGAATGTGTTTTTCAGTGAAAAGATAATCTATTTCAAATATGGACCGATTAAGTGATGATAATGCACAAAACATATATTCATTACTGGTAACAGATCAACTAGACTTGCATTCAGATTCAAAACTGTGATCATAAGGTAGGAGTTAATATACTTGCACATGACATGCTGTGTGTATGCATAGGACAGAAAAAACCCTGTAGGTCCTCAGGGTGGAAATATTTGTGAGCTGTGAGGTGAGCTGAAGCCTTGTGGTGCTCAACAGGTACGTGAAGAGCTTAATATTATATTTGTAACATACAACTTTGTCTGCGTTATTTTATTGCAGCCCACAAGCGAAGACATTTATTAACTGGGTCGAAGTACAGTAAGGATTTTTCAGACTTTGGCCCTTACAGCTTTTTAGTCTCAGGAGAGAACTGACTCAGACACGAAACAGGTATGTGCCTTTTGTTGAGTAAATATATTTATATTTAAGTTTCAATGGCGCTTTCACTACCTTTTCATTTTAAATGTGTCTTTGCATACTGTGGAGCCAAAGCAAAGTGGTTATTAACACAGTTAATAAAAGCCGCTTTGGTACTTACCGCAGTACTGCCAACTACTGTATGTCTTACAGTGTGTTTGGCTTGTTAATATTGTGTGTTTTATTTAATCACATCTGTATTACATGTTATATGTTTCATTGTTTCACAGGCACTTCTGCTACTGAGGTAAAAATGTATTGGCACAGTACAAAGTTCAGTATTTTTAAAGGAAATATATCACTGATAGCTGGTAAGTAGTTTGGTTAGCTTCTGCTTATGTGGCTTATCATTTTACAACACAGGGTTGAGCAATGAAATCTAAACTGTAGTCCCTTCATGCTACACATGATAACATGTGTACAAAATTAATATTAGAATTGAATATAATGAAATAAAAATATAATAAAAAAATAGTCACATACATACATATAGTAAAGTACAAATTAATTTACACACTGAATTTATAATAATAAAAAAATAAAACATTTATAAGCAAAACTGTATTTGAGCCAGGCAGTATTGTTTATCCTCTCTATTGATAATATATTTGATTATGCTAATTCTGGTGAATCATTTTTATCTTTTATACTTCCATGTGGTGTTTTTTATTTCCCCAGAACTCCAGGATGCTTAAAACTCATCCTTCCTTCAGTGCTTTGGTTCTCCAGCCCACCGTGATCCTCCTTCTACTGGCTGACTCTCATAGAGGTAACTCACACACAAACATCAGCACCTGGTGAAGCCAGAAGCTAGTAGAAATAAAGAGAGAATGGTCATTTAACATCGAACTAAAATCACATTTATTAACTCTGACTGCAGGTTTTAAAATGTGTTCTGTGTCTTTCCAGGCCAGTCTCAGGGGGTTGGACCAGCTCAAACA